ACAGAATTCATATCTTTCACAAGGACACGATGTGTCAATTCTTCCTGACTGTTGTTAGAGGTGAATGTTGAAGAAACCCTTTAGTTGCAGAAAAGGGAGACTTGTTTTTTGGACAAACAGGGGTGAATATTAAATAAAGAGAGAAAATACATCGTAACCAATAAATATATAATGCGTAGATCAACATTTCACTTTAAATTATTTTATATTACAACACAAGAAATACAGTCCTATGCGTGTGATCCACATTCAATGACATTTTCTGGCTTGGTAATAGTAATAGTGGTCTTACCCTGCCAGCTTCATTGAAAACATGTCCATCAAAATACTTTTGACAGCCATCTGGCTGACTTGAGCCTGTGGTCATTTGCCAATCCTGTTGTATCTGAACAATGACAGGACTCTCAACACAGATACATTGCTGGCCTCAGATAGTAGTACCGAATTTGGAGACTCTTATCAACCTGTTTTCTCCCTCCCATGTGATACTTGACATTCAGACAGAAGATTCAATTCACCCAGGCTGATTTGAGGGGACTGAATTAACATAATAAATCGGAAATCATTGTGAAAATGTAATTAAAATTCTAATATAAATTAACTGAGAACTCTGGCTTTGAAGTTGTCTAGAAGTAGATGGTGGAATGCATGCCCTACCTGTAGATATCTGCTAAACCATAAAACAACAATGGGACACATAAAATAGGATTCCAATATAAATTCTTTTTTTTAAAGTCGGGGGTGGGGCATGCTTTTCCTACCTTTCACAAGAAGCAAGATTTTAAAAATAATATTTTTAAAACCCCACTCAACCTTCCCCTTCGATCTTAAGAAGATGGCAAGAGTACAGCATGTAATCTCTTGCCATGAGATCTGATGGTGTACCTAATAGAATTGGACACCTGGAAAAAAATATAAAACAAGCAACTAGAACAGCACCATTTGAAATAAACATAAAAGACTAAATGCTGGTTTATATATAAAGCTTGAAAAATCTTTTTCCCACTTTTATGTTTGACATTAGTGCACAGAAATGACAAAATGTAGTCCATGAGTGTTTGCCATAGCTACTTGTCTTGATAAGATCATTACAGTAGTAAAAGTAATTGACATTTCAACATGTGGAGCTTTTTTTTTACTGTGTTATGCCAGGATAAATCTAATGATGAAAGGAAGAAATAGCTATACTGGGATCCATTTATAAAGGTAACTACAATGACAAGAACCCTGGTTAATGAAACAATTGTTGACTCTAATTTTTTTCCCTTTATCCAGCCATGTAAATGATATACTATAGGTCTACTGCAATAATGAGACTTATTTCAACAAACTTCCGTAGTAGTGAGACAATCGCAATACACTGGCAATTGAAGAAAAGATAACGAGCTTGTGGCAGCCAAACCATCACAATGTGCCACACCAGTCATTTCGTTGTCAGGCTGAAGCAAGGGACTCTTGTTTATTATAAGCATTCTTTATCCTTGTGGTCATTATAGAGGCATTCGACCAAAAGAACGAGACATTCTAGTTTTAATCCAGCACAATATTATTTTCTCAAACAGGCATTGTGTTATTATCCCCTTTGGATTCCAGTTATAGCTAGACAGTGCATTAGAAGATATGGCTCTTTATTAATGTAATCTTGTTACAACAAAATTTGATGGAAAAAATCAATCAATGTAGCCACAACACAGTAGCTTTATTCTCCTCTATACAGAACCACTAGAATTCGGATTTTGAGAAAAGACAATATAATATGAAATGAAATGACTGTGATATTGTTCCTAAATTGCACTCACTTACATGGAAGGCACTTACTGCAAACTATACAATTTCAAAACGCAATCATGAACAAACTTCTCACATGATCAGCAAATAAGGTCAAAACAGTCACAAACAAAAATTCTTCCACACCAGATTAATAAACCTAAAGAGCACAACTATCCCTACCAAATAAATCAAACATTTATGCAAATGAAATACTAACTCCCTACAAAGGCAAGTTCACACTTGATTTAATAAAACTAGTGAAAGCGATGGCTTTCAAACATCATTATTTTAAACTACTTACAATAGGGTGTTCTTATGACCTGGCAAGACAAAAAGACTTCATCAAAACATGCTGAAACTGAAACATCATTTGTTGAGAAATTCATTCTGCATTCAATAGTTTTAAATGCATTTCCCAGTTAAATGTCATTACTGCATGACCTTTGACAAAAGAGAGTTGCATTGCGCCCTCCTTATTCAAAACAAACTGAAGTCTGTATCAACTTCATTAGGGGAAATTTTTTTTCAAAACATTTCAATGGATGCAGTATCAATCTAAGCCATCAGCAGACCTGCCAATCTCACAACTTGAGTCAGTTCTCAGTTCTGATGAATTCAAGTGGCTTGTTTACAAACATTTCAAATCACAGACAACTACAATCTAGCATAGACTAGAATCTGCTTCTGGTGACAGTATAGCAGCATGTACAGTGCACAAACAATAGCATATTTTTTTCTTATCAACACTGGAAGCATTTAAGAAAAGTTCAAAAGAGAGCTGTTATTAAAATGAGAGAACAGCAAGTGACTCCAACTAGTGATTAAAAGTATGCAGGATAATTAGTAGTTGAGTTGACAACAGAATCAACAGAACATAATATCAGTAGGGCCTACTCCTGAATCATGCAAGCCCCAGGAGGCAGATTTGGACTACAAATATTACATGCTGAGTTTTTCCTGTTTTCGTAAAAATTTTAACAGCATATGCAACAAAACTACTCATATAAGTGCTGCGGATTGTAACTTATAAAGAAAAGAAGGAGGAGAGATAAGGGCAATAGATATTTGATAAGAAAGAAGGAACAAACCATACCAGAGCACCTGCCAACAACCCACTATAATTATGTAGTATATATAATATATGAGTATGAGATAGAGAGGGAAGTAACAAACCAAATTGCCCCATTGACCTAAGTGCAGACAACAGACTCATGTGACACTTTGAGAAATGGCATGGAAATAATAAGAGAAAGGACAGCATCATCAATCATTAACTTAGAGTGAGGTGACTTGATTATCTGACATTGTACTTTCGGCACAAGAAAGCATTTTTGACTAGCCCTTATTAATCAGGCATGTTACCCTTCATTTTGGAAAATCCCAGGACTTCAATTTTTTTAAACAGTATTATCAGTCCACAGTCTATTTCATTGTCTCGTGCAGAAAAGTAATCCATAATAATTATATATGCTTCATTATCATGGAGAGGGAATACCTGTGTGTGTATATATATGTATATATAAAAGACATGCATATACAAGTGTTCATAATGTGTGGTGAGTACTTTCCATGGTGACACACACAACATTATTCTACTTCAAAATTTGATTTACAGCACATTCTGTTTCTCTCAGTGTGTAGCATAATCTCTATTCAAGCATTTCTATAGAATCTAAGGACTTTGACTCCATCTGCATTAACTTATTTTCTAGTGTTTCTATACTTAAAAGCATTTAAAAGTTAAGAAGTAAATGCTTTAGTCTGTGCAATTTTGTTTTGTAAAGCTTTCTTCTTCCTCGTTCTCGATGACAGCAGCTAGACAGTCAGTTTTGTAAAGCTAAAACAAATTCTCTGGTGCGTAGCTCCATCCTTTCAAAGTTAGACGTCTTAGCAGTTGTGAGCGCCGTAAAACCCTATACTACAGATACAAAGTTAGACATCTCACCCAATCATTCCCTACAAAAAAAGACTAAAATCCATCTGTGATTACAATCAACTCCTTTCTATAGCTTTAATTTAGTGCCAAAATTGTTCTTTTCAGAAATACCTTGACGGAAATTCATACAGTGTTACTACCTGTACTACCATTTACACACGACTTGATAATAAATGCGTCCGTGATCAGAAATATCAGTACAAATGTACAAAAACAGAATGTACACCTAAATGCAGTAACATTGCTAATCACTCACAAGCCAAATTATAGTGGGCCTAAACTGCATTGAGTAATAGCCCATAGGCTGAAAAATACAAAAAGGACCAAAAAAAACCTCCAAAATATTTTTAAAAATAGAAAAATTTTCCTTTAGTAATTTTAAAAACATATTTTCTTTTCGCTCAATAAGTCTATACGTTTTCAAAGATCTCGAAGCAACAATGAAATTTAGATATCGTTCACAGCTGGAAAAAAGGTGAACAAAAATTTTAAAAACCATTAACAAATGTTAGTCGCCTTTAAAGACAAGCGGGCTAACCCAGATTTCGGGGGTCTCCAGAAATCTTGACCCACACCAAAAGTGGGCATTGCCCTACCTTTAGGAGAAGTTTGGTTTCATTGGTGTGTATATTTCTTTGGTTATTTAGAAAACTCTCCATGTCTTTTTAAGAAGCAGAACAAGGGTCCAAAAACTTTACCTTAGATTTTCTCAAAACAGCATTTTTTGGGATAGCCCCCTTGTGCATAAAAACGACCGTATACTGCAAGAAACAAAAATTAAGTGAGAGAACTTCTGTACCTAGTCAAAACTGATTTTAGTGAATTACTTCTGTTACAGAACCTGAAGTTCCAATGGTTGGCAGGTCCGCTTGGGTCAGTTAGTACAACAAAACCGTGGTATGACTGGCAATACAGAACAGTAACAGTAAAAACAAAGCTCTGAGTACATGTACAGGCAATAAGGGCTCAGAGTGGTTTTCTTTTTATAATGAAGAAATTCATCTGACGTGGAAATACATTATTTACAAAGGAGATACCTCTGACATTGTCACATCACCCAAATTGTGAGAAGCGCAGCACATAGTTCTTCACAAAGAAATAATTTCAGACTGTTGCACACATTTGGACATCATCACACAAAACCATAGACATTTGCATCCAGACCTTGACTTCACTCACACATTTCATTCCCAGTTAAGTGGCGCGCTGACAGTCTACATTTGAGCAGACAGAAGAAAACAACAATTTACAAATGCAGGAAACACATAAATAGAATATTAGAATAACACGAGGGTTTTTTGTCACAAGTCGGCAACTCTTTGTCTGTAGTGGAGTAATAATGGCGTGTCCTGTTTTTAAAAAAAGGAAAGAAAGAAAAAAATTTAAAAATTAACATTCTCAGTAAGGGAAAAAACTGAGAGCTGGTGTGTTCTAACGCAATGGGTTCTATTTTACACAATGAAGTTTTACATGTCAATACCTGATAATTTGAGGTTTGCTCTTCCATTACTGAGCTAAAAAAAGGGACTGCAAATAGCTGGTATAAACCAGACAAAATACTATGGTGATCGTAAAAGACCAATCTTTGATACTACTCCACCTTGAATCATTAAGAAGGTTTTCAGAGCGTAAAGGTTATTTTTATGTTATTTGTAAAACAATCAATTTTGAACAACCATGCAAGAAAGTCAACATCAGTGTCAGCAATATAAAACTGATCACCATTCCAAATGAGATTGTCATCTTCTTTGCACAATGAAGAAAAAAGAAAAAATTCAAAATCCTCATGATCTACCTACATGGCTTTATTTTTATTTCTATAACTATCACAACTTAACAATGAAGTACCTTAAAAGAAGCAGCCACAAAAAAGTAGTTAAAGCTATAAATGTAATTTGTGCAGACCAAAATAGTTTAAAGCAAAGACTTATTGTGGTACATATGCTGAGTAAGCGAATTCCTAAACAATCTCAGAAACAGTTGATCTGGAAAAATTCTGTACTATTTTCAATGGAGACATTTCCACCAAATAATGTGGAGTTTGCAAATTTCTACTGATTCCCTTCAATCACACCCTGATTTTTCTAATACAGTTTATGGATCAAACACAGCATTTTATTCACTGAACTATAATTTCTATGCAACACAGTTTCATGATTTTTAAAACCTGTCTTAGTACACATACTATTGCTTATTCTGTACTTACAATAAGCTACTGTGAAATATCTTACCTTTGATCTCCATCGAGTTACTGCTACAAATTTTAAAGTGTGGTCCTTTCCCAGGATTTCTTCATTACATAGTATGTCAACCTGTTAAAATTGGAGAAAAACAATGTCACTTTCCAGAATTAGTAACAAAATAATGAAAATAAGAACTGAGCACACATCAAGGTTATGACTGCTTTGAAGAGAGTTTCTGAACAGCAAATTTCCAGCAAAAATTACTATTAAAATCATTGTCTATCTACTTGGGATCCATAATTATTCGTCTGTTTTTTTAAGTGCCGAACATTAGAGGTGTTACAAGAGAGTGACAAACACAAAAAAGAAGGAGGGGAGATAAATACGATAGATTTTTTATAGGAAAGAAGGAGCAAACCACACCAGAGCACTCGCCAGATACTCACATTTGTCAGGGGTTTTTTTTATGTGATAAAACGTCTTGAAATTTTAAAAGTGCTTTTTGACAAATAGTTGGACCAATAAGATACTTTTCACAATTTTGCCCCATTTCAACCCCAAAAATATGAATTACCTCCTATTACAATGTCTTTAAACAATATTTTCAGGTACATATAGAAAGTAAGTTAACATATTTTTTTTTATCATTATGATCTTAAAACTACACAAACATGCATACAAAAACATATACATACACAGATTGAGCATGTATGTGTTAGCGTGTGCTTGTGAGTAAGTGTGTGTATGTGCATGTGTGCAAAGGATTCATATGTCATGTGGAAGTGGTGAAGAAGAAAAAAAGTAAAATTTAATTAACTGCAAATAGCTAGCATAACCCAGGCAAAATACCATGTCCGTGTAAAGCAAAGAGAGAAATTAAGAGCTGTGAATGACTAACAACCCTGAGCGCACGACACTAACCTCTTTAAATCTGTTGATGTTGGTGTATATCTTGAGAGCCACAAATTTCTTCAGGTGAGTGATTGTGGCCTGGGAGGAAATGCGTAGGTAGCGTCTCTTGAGGTGCTTGAGGTTGGGAGCGCGGCACTCTAGGCAGATGTTGACCTGCTCGTCACTGCGGTGGTGGTCCTCGTCATCCTGCTGCTCCTGACCCAGCGGCTTATTGCACTCATTGCTGTTTTCATCATTCACTGCAGAAAACACACACAATGAATTGACCTTTTCACGATCTCATTTGTTTGTTTTAGTTTTTAGTAAGAGTTTTACGGCACTTGCAACAAAATAAAGTCATATAAGAGCCGAACATTAGAGGTGTTACAAGAGAGTGACAAACACAAAAAAGAAGGGGGGAGATAAAGACGATAGATTTTTTATAGGAAAGAAGGAGAAAACCACACCAGAGCACCCGCCAACCACATCCACATTTGTTTGTTTGTTTATTTGAGTAAAGAGAAGATCTCAAGCACAGTGAAGATCAAATCATACTAAAATAATAATATAGAAACCTCTATTATAAAGAAAACAAAACATGGAAGAGAAAAACAAAAAGGTAAAAATGGAAGTTTAAGTAACATAATCATAATACTTCTTGAAAGTTTATTTAAATTGTTTTTTAAATACAAAAACTCTTGGTAATGGTTATTAGTTTATGAGTGATACACCACACAGACAACTAGAACTACCGAAAGTCACTCACGAAACAGAGTCAAGTTCATATGCAGGACCAGCAAATCCCCCTGGACTTGTTATGAAAAGCTAATTCACTATATAAAAAAAACCCACAACCCTGGTACTGAAAACACACTCCAATATCTACTCATAGTAGCCAATGGCATATTTATCTGCCTCTCATTTCACTGTCAAAGAGCCCCATTTGTGGAACTGAATACAAGAACACTCACCAACACTACTAGGAACAGGAAGCCCTCTTCTTTTGTAAAAATCTTGCATCCGTTTTTGCTCTTCTGTAATAAAGGAATAAAACTTTCTTTAATGAGAAGCAAAAGTCAAATCAAACAGTTGTCGTTGAGATTCATTACCCTATTAACTCATGTACTATATTTTTTATTTTACCCTCATGATTGTAATATATTCCATCCACAAAATATAGCAAATTATATATATATGAGCCATTGCCAAAACGTGGGGAAAAACACACACATCTCACATTAGTGTGCATAAAATGTGATGCATTAGTATTTATTCCTCCAAAACTCATACACATGTCAAATATAGGATGTAGAACCTGCATTAGCAGTTTCAGACCCCATGTCAGCTTTACAATCTTGAGTTTGTAAATTTTGTGCCAAAAATGTTCGTTTTTTAGTGATTCCTGGACTGTCATTTTGAGCACACCAATGCAAACTTCCAAGACTGTCCAAAATTTAGTATTTTTGGGTGTTGTTTTTTTTACGTGTGCTTTGATCATATGCTATTTGTTATCAAGAAAGGTTAACTTGCTCAAGAAATCGGTTTATTTGTTTGCAAATAAACGAACAATTCGGATCACTTGTGCGTTAGTCGTGTCATCAAGGACTAGGTGTTTCAGAAAACACCATTATTTTTCAGTAGAATCACCGTAGCTGGTTAAATCTTTTTGCTTTTCGTCGTTTATTCAATACTTCAAAAGCCGCGATGCGCGAAAGGAACATTGGGTTCCTAGATCTACCATTTCGGTCAGCTGTTTAACATTCGCTGAGATTGTCGTCATCTTGCAACATTCCAGAAGTCCGAATTTCAGCCCACTTTTGTTTTGAACGGGTCATCAACAGTGTCCGGATATAATTGTTTTCTCGAGTGACTTCCCCTTACCCGCAACGGGGGAAAGAGAAAAAAGAAAGTAGTCATTGCCGTCGGCGTCCGGTGACGCACAAGAATCTTGCGTTGAATGTGACGTACTGGACTGCTTTGCATGTTTTTAGGCTACCCTATTGAATATTTTAGTGAAATTGCGGTGTTTACATTGGATTCTTGGAACAAGAGTGTGATGTGTGAACAAACTTCGAGAGATGGATCATTTCTGTGGTTATAGATTTAGCTTTAGTGCTTAGTGATGACGTTTGGGGTGTCGTCATGCAGCCGTACAAGACTGACTGACGTACTAGAAATTACATTGTCTTAAGAGCAAACATTTTTTATGTCATGTGTGCTCTATTTACTCAAACAAATAGACAAACATGTCCTTGTTTATCTGTCTAACTCAAAAGTACACATTTGTTCTTTGTTGGTATGATAAGCCTTTTTCCAATACATTGTGTCATCATTGTTATGTGCAAGTAATATCTGTTATCATTGCTAATATCAATAAGTTTTCAACATATATTTCATACATGCAAGATTCATTTAGAATCAAAATACGTCTTTATTGATCTGTGTATCTCATAGTGCAAATTTGTTCTCTGTAGGCATGATTTTACCTTTTCCCAGTATGTTTTGTCATCACTGTTATGTACGAGTACTGTTTGTCATAATTAGCAAAATAATTGTGATTGCCCACTGTCTTTGATATGATCTGATATCTGTTTCAAAGCAAAAGAAACCTCTCCTAGTTGTTTTTTTATTCTTAAAGTGCGCATTTCTCTCTGGGGGCATGACTTGTCTTTTCCGGTACATTGTGTCATCATTGTTATGTACAAGTCATATTTGTCATCACTGTTATGTACAAGTCAGCCCCATTGATTTTGTGCTTTTGCCTTATATTAGTTTAAAAATCGTTTTACACATGTGTTTTTCTGGTGCTGGGGCTTTGATAACTGTATTTGTACAGCCTTTCACTATTGTGATGTGTTGTCAATGATAATGTCCAATGTGTATCCTTTCTTGTACATAACAATGATGACATATTCTGTGCACTGCGTCATTGTTACAATGCTTGTCATTCATATTACCATTATGAATGGAGTTCATAGCGTAAAAAGTCTTTGGTTACTAAACAAATGGAATTTAAAAGTCCATAATTTGCATTGCTGCTTATCTGTTTTTGTCATCACTGTTACATACAAGAAATACAGTGGTTGCCAAACCAATAGACCCATATCTCCAAAACCCTACATCTCCTTGCTCTGATACTCTAGGAATATGAGCACTAAATGTCAATCTGTGACTGACAGAAAAGGGAGTCAAATTGGTAAGAACAATTTTTTTGCACCACTGAGTCTCGAGAGTCTCACGTTTTGGCAATTGCTCATATATCAAATGAAAGAAAACTGGAAAGGGAATTCGATAAAATTGAACATTTTCGGATCAAATCAAGGATATTACTTTGGAAAGTCTAGACTGGCATAGTTCAAGAATTTATAGAGAGCTGATGATACCACTCATCGTGGAGACAAGGAAAATGTTAGGCCAATCAGTCAGCTCATCATAATGAATCTAAACAGTATACATCACTTGATTAAAATTTTTTTAATCTGAAGCATATGGTCATTTCAAAAGCAATTATAAGGCAACAGCCCATTGAAAGTAACTTTCTCTACTGTTCACCCCTGCAATGTATAATTGTAACACATGTCGAAATTAATTTCAGAGGTTCAACTTTAAGTAAAGTGTAATAATGTAACACGTCCATCCTGGGAGCACATCCCAAAGTTGCAACAAGGTAGCACAATGTACTGAAAGTAACTTACTCTCTTGCAATTTTGGTACCAGTTTGTAGACAATGTCCTGCATTGTCCTGTCGAAACTGTGGGAACAAAGATGACCAGGAAAAAATTACAAGAAAAGAAATATTAATCACATGTGACGGAGATTTGTATTTTTGTATCAGCTATTTTCAAAAGATATAATACAATCTATTCTAAATTATGATATTTTGACATAATAATGTATAATAAGACAAAAATACTGTAAATGTAGATGAAAAGACAATGATGAATAGGTAGTTACAAAATATGCTACAGAACAAAAAAAAACCAATTTACTATTTGAACTGAAGACACAAATGTCAACACAATGAATGTTAAGCGAAACAACAAGAATGAATGATGACAGGCAAAAATTGATGAGAAGCAGGAAAGCATAAACTGATTTGTGCTCTCCTAGATCCTTAGGTGTAAATTTGAATCTTCAGAAATGTGGCAATGAAAAAAAAAAGTAAACTACAAAAAAAAAATGTAATAACTGCATCCAATCAAAATAACTGAAGTAGATTCCCAATCAACACATAAATTATAAAACTATACAAAAATTATAAACAGGAAAACTAAAAACACACTGTCTTTTAAAGCGTTGAAGCAATTTATCAACTACGTTTCATTCAATTTCACATCCATACCTTATGTAATTCAGAGGATAACTTTGATGAATCTCGGCATCGCATTTTGGACACGTGTTCTTCTCCTCCAGATATTTTACAATACAGCTTTTGCAAACTGTCGACAATAAAAAAAAAAACAGGAATGTTAATGAATCATGAAATGTATTTCTTTGAACCAATCAATAATGAATGGTAAAAACACTTGACAATATTCAGGGAACCGAAAGAGTATACAAATTTATATCAAACACTCTGCCCCCCCCCCCTCCCCCAGCAACTTACACGTATGTAGGCATTCTGTAATTGTAGTTGAATCAACGAGATATCCTTTGCATAGGTAGCAGGTTATGAATGGGTTGACTGTCTTCAATCGAACCTTCCTTTCCATCATCTTGATGAGCCTGATGGTCTATTCAATCATGTCATGTGCCCTGGAAAAAAAAAGACAGCAACAAAACACTCATCAATACCACTTTTTGCTCAAGGGGCATATACATTCTGAGAAAGCATTATTCCAGCTTATCAATGAACCAACAATCACAAATTATTTCCAGTTCCCCCATCCCCCATTTTCAGCATTAAGAACAGAAATGGAATATCTTAATAGATTGTGTGTGAACCTTTCTCTGTGAAATAATGGTACCTTTCAATTGCTATAGCATTCAGCTTTTTATCATAAGAATCACTGTGGTGAAAAAATGAAACAAAAAGGTGTAATTTATTTATTTTTAAGTCTAGTGATTTTCGTTGCACTGTAATTTTATAGATTTTAGTTCTCTAGATCTAGATGGATTTGAAAAAGTTTCAGAGAATGCCAAATACCAGTGTCTAAGTACACGGTAACCGACAACCCAGGGCCTTCCCCCACCACTACAGCATCATAATAACTTCCACCATAATTCGTCTTTCCACATGTTTAATTTGATTTTGTTGTGTGTTGAGTTTTTCTGTAATTTTTTTAAAAAATGTAATCGCATAAAAACCAACAGCCGTGGCCTCTTCCTCCATAAGCAGAGAGTGCGATATATCGCTACGCACAGTCTCATCATTGGTCAACATAATTAACTTTTCCCCCCACAAGGTCAGCTTAACTTAGTTTTGTTCATACTAATGATGCAGGGAGGGCCAGTTTAGATAGATCCGGTAACTGGATAATAAAGCTCACGTCTCCATTGTTATCATTATAATCGAAAAAAGTTCATAAATGCTGGAAATATTTAGGAACAAGGGTCGGAAGTCGGAATGGACGTCATGCTGGACTCAATTCAAAGTCCGAATATAATTTTTGTCTATTTGGAATTGAGTCCGAATAGTCACTTCATTAGTTTATTTAATGGACTGGGTGGAGGCCATTTAACACCATGAACAGCAAACAGTGAAAAAAAAAACCAAAAAACAACAAGCTATACTAGATCTAGATCTATGGTTATAAAATTAAAAATCTATATGCAAGAACGAAATGTCCAGAACGCATCTGATACCTACATATACGATACTCACGCTTAATTTTAAGAAGGCTATTAGATTTTTTTTAAAATTAAGGCTACTTATGGCAACGGTAATTAGCAGTTGGCCTTGATCTACATGAGGAAACATGCCCACACTGGGGTGCGGGTGAGAAATAACGGGTGAGTTATTCTGAATATATTAGTAATATATATAGGAATAGGTGGCCTTCTCAGAGGGTCTGAATAGGCTGTCGTTATTCTCACCTGGGGCGAAAATATAAGCATAATATTATTCTCACGCCAGGTGAATATAAAATGATTATGAATATTATTCTCTCACCCGGTCTGAGAATGCAATGGATTTTTATTCTTAGGCCTACCTGGGTGTTGAGAACGGGTAGGCCTACATGTAGGCTAATTATGAGATAGAAAATAATTTTTTAATTGTAAGAGTGACCGTTCGTGAACTGCCCCAGAGCGCTGGCCAATTTTTCTAGGCTCCCGCATTTTTAAAAATCTTGAGAGTATGCACACAAAACCCTGGACAAGTGTATATTCTAAATTCAGAAAGGAAATCAATTGCCAGAGTAGTATGGTTTAAAAATAATAGCCTTAACAGAAAGCTGTTTAATGAAATAATGTTAGTAATAGTTTAAAGTCATTGTAATGTTAGAATTGGCATTTTGTTTACAACACAAAAAACATGTTTAATTGTTATCCCTAACAGAACCCACAATTATTTTTAAGGCACACAGTGCCTTGACCCTAGGCTTATTTTTTTTCTTAATTTTGATTGGTTAAACCATTCAAGAGTAAAATTTTCCCTTACAGAACCAATAAATAGCAACAAAAGGTGACGCTATTTGCTCAAAAGGTAAGGTTTTCCCCCAAATCGACAATAGTCGCCTCCCGCGCCCATTGGCGAGTTTTGTCGCCTGGAGCGCTAGTGACACGAGTCCTATGATGCCTGAAACGAAATAAAAAAGGCGGAAACTAAAAAACTGGGCGAGAATAGTAGGTTGTCGTTATTGCGGGTGAGAATAGTATCAATTTTACCTCTCTCTCTCCCATGGTAGGGTAACAAACGAAAAAGTCCCCATTTAGTAACATGTATTACAACTAAATTATTTTTCTTCTTGAACTTCTATTTCTTCATCTTCTTGCTCTCCTCCTCCTCTTCCTCAAGCTCTTCCTGCTTCTTTTTTTTTCCTTCTTCTATGAGCGCTCCAAACCCGCTGTGAGAAGACGGTCATAGGCGTGAGACCGAAACCGGGAATTCCCAGAGTACTGTAAGCCTACGATACATAATGTATTCATGGGTCAAAGCTTCAACCAATCATAGCCCTCTTTACGCCCACTGTGCAGTCGCATATCGATTAGGCGTACAAGGCTTTAGCATTGTTGACATCAACCATCATTGTTCTCAGACCTCTCACCTACATTGACACTTCACAAGACGAGTAACGCATGCGCTAAGGCCATGTTGACATTCTCTCTGTAAGGGCATCATGTAGAATAATCACTCCATTCAGGATAACCCAATCCCTACCCCTTCCCTAATCCTTTTCTTTTTCTAGACCCAGCAAATATGGAAAAAAGGTAGTGAATTATTCACACCGGGAGTGCGAATAAGAAATAATTTTACTCACAACGGGAGTGCGCATAAGAATTTTACATAATGTTATTCACACCAGGTGTGCGAATAAGAAATAATTCTATTCGCACAGGGTTGAGCCTTCGTTGATTTTGGACCTCGTTTCTCAAACCCGGGCACCCCATCTGTTAGCAAAGGCTACTCATCTCTCTCTCTCTCTCTCTGATCTCAATGCGCAAGGAAAACAAAAAACGAAAATAGAGATTTTGAATCATTATCATTTACACAATTTAAAACAACTTGAATTCCAATTTGAGTGGGGAGGGTTTCGTATCGTTTTGCACAATTAGAACTAGATCTATCCCTACCAAAGATGGCAAATAACAAGATTGTTCACTCAGCCCGAAAAGTGTCCGCAGAAGTCCGCGCATTGCTTCAAATGGCGCTGGAGTCTTTTAGAAGCGCTCTTTCGTTTCTCCAGTTCAAGAAGAAGAGGATATAATATAAGCACAGTCTGTTAATTTCACTTTTATTAGGTACCAGAAACTAAATTTTCAAACTTGCTGTATGCCAAATTTATCTGTTCCATTTGAAAGGCCTATCCACTGAGCATTTTGGTACCATTCTTTAACCTCTCCGTCAATTTTTAAGAAAATTGTAGTTGTTTAAAATTTGATCAAATTTGTTAAAGTCAGTCACTGGCTGCAACCCCATGTTTGACAGACAATAAAAAAAGTACCAAGTGCACTAAACATCTCCACATTAACAGAGTACAATCACTATAACAAATATATGTAGCCTAATTTTTTTCAAGACTGTGAGATCTTTACAAATCAGTATATTATCGCCTCAAACATGATGATCTGTCGTTATTTCGACAAAAACACCAAGCGTTGACCCGGCGGCGCCGCACCGGCCCCCGCGGCGAGCGAGTCGGCTCTATACTGTAGTGTACCCCGCGTGCGGGGTCACATGCTTTCCGAGTCTCGCGGAAGGATTGATGAAAAATAATTCCAAGCTAATTACTTTATTCTAATAGAAAATGAACTGATCTTTTAATTGATACCTTTTATAAGTCTGTATTTTACATATTTTGTGTAAAAAGGATCTTTAAACATTTTGACGGTATTTTTTAAAAGCTTTCTATAAAGACGCCAAAGGCTAAACTTATACAATGGAGTCCACTTATAAAGAGTCCGGAAAAAAACGAGAAGTCTGGTATAAAGACACTATTCTAAAACCTCGTTTTTTTCTCCTCTTTACCTTTGTAAATAAAATACTACTATAGCGCTATCAGACAAACATGAGAGTCAGTTTTAGCGGAATATTGCTGCTGCTGTGAACAGTGCATAGGCCAATTATACATAACGTAAAACCTCACCAGTTGAGAAATTTGTTGGTGATCTTGCAAAACAAAGAAAAAGAGAGCCCACGTGCGTCAATAATGAAGGCCGGAGCAACTGAGTAGGGAGGGTGTGGCAAGCGCAGACAAGCAGAACGCATCGTGTGATATGCCAGCGTAAGCCTAGTTTAGATTATCAAGGCCTACCATGCCTCTCACTTCTCCGATGCGGGGATGGAGAGGTCACAGCAATGTGATGGACGGAGCGAATGTGTGACGTGCGCAAACAGACAGAATGCACCACAGGGTGTGGTGGGGTGGGGGAAAACACAGCGGGTGAGTTAGCCCAGAGCCCTTCCTTTCTGATCGCCAACGCCCAGCTGTCATTCCACATCGCTGGATCTAGAGCTAGAGAAAGAAACCTGATTCGATTTTTTATCAAGTAAGACCTAGAGGTAATGTTGAAACAAAATCGTCATCAGGGGAGATTGCAAAAAAAAAAATAAACAGAACACCAAACTCATAGATTAGGCCTACTTTACAGTTTCCCTTGAACGTATTACTGGATCCCTTATAGCGAGAATCCTGCTATAACGGACATTTTGCTCCGGTCCCCTCCCTCTCGTTATAACAGGATTCCACTGTATCACTGGAAAGCCCGTTTAAAGCTCAACAGTTCTCTGCCAATGAAAAGACGGTATTTAATCATCCCTCGTTCCGCGAAGCATTTGAATGCACGCGTGTCAATTTTTCAACCGGCCGACCTCGCATTCCGACCGCGAGGGGCCTCGCTTTCGTTGGCGATTCTCCAGCTCCTAATAATCGGACATATAAACAACATACACCATTGTAACGAAGAAAAGCTGAATTTTTACAAGGTGTACGGCATTTGGTGTTTTATAGCGAAAGAGCAAAGAAACAGCGAACGAAATTACCCCGATTTTACCGATACCACGCGTTCGGAAGGCCGCGAGTACCCGCGAGGCCGTGTTTACGCTACCTACTTTTATTGTTTTTCACACAAGTAGGGTAACTCTGTTCGCAAAGTCCGCACTTTTTTTAAGAGGGCGTCACGAAATTTTAAGGGCACTTTTTTAATTGGCTCAAAGAGAGGAGTGCACTGATCTTTGTCCCCATGCGATGAGGGGGAAAATGAGCTCTCTCTCTCTCTCCTATCATTTCCATCCTTCTTTTGAAACGCCCTGTGCCAATAATATTTTGCAGTATTCACACACCCTGTGCAAATATAATTTCATAGTATTCACACACACTGTGCGAATAAAATTCTAGTATTCACACAACCTGAGCGAATAAAATTTCAGTTAATCTTATACTTTAGCATGTTAAATTCTTCAATTGATTTTATCAAAGCTATCGTAGGCTAGAGGTCCGCTCACTCGCGCGCGCATGTGTGTGCATGTGAGTGTGTGGCGAGATAGATAGATCTAGATCTGATTGATCTAGGGAAGTGGCTATTCTCACCCGGGGTGAGAATAAAAATATGATCTACCTCTCACCCCTGGTGAGACTTGCCAGTGTAGGCTATTCTCACCCGGTGTGAAGCAAAACCTGTTTTTCCTCATTTTGGAATCTGTCTATCGGTGTGGATGATCAAATTGATAAAAGCCAAGAAAAAATTACGTTATAGCACAAAAGTAAGCTAATTTGATCGTCTTCAAAGATGCTATGGCTATTTCAC